GCACAATTGCTGGCTGACTAAATACTTTTTTGCCCCACTGTATATTCAGCTGAACTCAAACTAAATGAGTTGCAGGAGAGTTGTAGTTCTCAGCATGCTTTGCATTAGCCTGAATACAGTAAATGTTCAAATGAAGTGTTATTGTATATGTTTTTGCACAAGATGGATAGGGAGAGATGCAAAAGCTTAAAACTAATGTATACTGCATTTTGCTTAACTGTGTGCATCGAAGTGTAGTTTTATTTTTTAAGTAACAGGGTTAAAATGTATAGAGCTCTGCACATGAAACAATGTATCATACATGGCCACAATTTAACTAAAATGGGAAAAAAAATAATAAGTGGTGGGAACAAATTCTTAATTGGTGGCCACGATATTTATTTTTTCCACATGTCATGTGTGGGTCTGTGTGCAAAAGTACTGCAGAGTAGACATGACCAAGTGAATGTTGCTGCAGTTTTTGCCCCCAGAAATTAGGTGAATTTTTTTTTTCCTAAAAATTACATCTGACAAGCCTAATCTGTGAATCTGATGAAATTACAAATGATGATTGGTCTAAAACAGGGGTGCTGTTTTAACTTTTTTTGCCAGCCAAAGCCCTTAGACATGAAATATTTTCTTGAACTATTTCCTTAAAGTTTAATAGTTACACTTTTAATAATTCAACAACACATTTGCATGTTCACGGTTCTCTGATGTTGGTAAATGGTCACATAACATGCAATTAGTATTAGTGTTTTATTTTGACTTAGTAGCTGGACTTTAAAGTGAACTCGCTTTTTATTTGTGATAGTGTCTCCGTCCACAGTCAGAAATTAATGAGCTTTTATTTTGGTGAAATACTGGTGAAATGCTGTCAACTTCTGTCCACAAAATGTTTGTGGAGTCACTGCATTTACTGTGAACCAAGCTGCTCTGAGACACTGAATACAGTGGATCATATCACGATTATCATGCAGCCCCATTTATTTATTTTTATTTTTAAATTCAATGTAATTCATTATTAGTTTTTCATCAACTCACGAACCCCCTGGAATTCCTTCATGACCCCCCTTTGGGAAACACTGGTCTAAAACATCAATTTTCTAAAAAAAAAGAAAAGAAAGGGGAGCAGTGATAATCATGCCACCAAATGCATAAATGAAAATCCAGAAAATGGCCTGGAAAGATTTTAAATGAAGACCAACATCAACGAGCAGCAGGAACGCATGCACGCACTGCGCTGTAGCTGAAGCAGTCCAGATTGGTCTCCTTTGATTTACGGATAAATATATATTTTCAGTTGTGCTATAAGCTACAATGGTAATGTGGATTGTTGAAATTCCATTTCTAAAAGAAGAGGACCCTATTTAAAAACAATAGGACATCAGATTACATGATTATCGCTTGATTTTCATTGCATGTCTTCTGTTATCAGAAGCTTTGTTCACCCCCTGGAGCCGTGTGAGACACTTTTTTTATGGATGGGCGCTTTTTAACAGATATGCTTTTGAAGTGCACCGTACAGCGATTCCATGAACGCTTTGGGATAGCATCTATATTAGACTTTTTCCATACTCCAGTCCTGCTCAAGTAAAATTACATTTGATGTTCTGGCTTCATGATAAACATCAGCTCAAAGAAGTGTCTGGCACGCATTTGCAAGATGCAACCATCCTACATTATATTGGCATCAATCAATGTGACTTTCTTTGAGAATCAAAAGGCACGAATGTGATTAGAAACAAGTGATTTTATTCAGGCACATATCAACACTTGAAGCAGCTGCATCCATGGCTCACAGCTGCTCCTTCAGTCTTGATAACTTCAAAACTCTCATTAATATTCAGTCATCCAACTGGGGAAGATAACCATGACTATCAGGAATATAGAAGAAACAACGGAACTCATAGCATTCAAACTGTGAAGGATATGACAGCTGGACTATTGAAGTCCATCCATCAGGTCCTTCCAAGAAAGAAGGTTAAGTAAATGTGATCTTAAAAAATGACCAGAGGAGCATGTTGTCATCTCCAGGAACTCTATCAGTTCCATCGACTGATGCAAATCAAAGCAATCACTTAAAAAACGCAGAAACAGCCTCTAGCAGTAAAATCTGCTGCTTTGTCGACTGATGTGTCAGAAGTAATAGATGTTCAAGATCAAAGGTGTCATAATTCACAAATGTACAGATCTCAAAACACTTGAAACTTCATTTTGAAAGGGCTTCCCTATAAAATAAAATAAAATCAAATATAGTGCCAAAAGTACATACACTGTCAGCTTCCTCACCTGTAAGTAAGGTAGTATCTTGCACAGGGTCTGTCCAAAGAACCAGGTTTCTGTAATGTCCACCACAAGACTCGCAGGAAGACATGTGATTGTGACCAGGATGTCTGCGAAGGACAGGTTCACGATGAAGTAGTTGGTCACAGTGCGCATGTGATGGTTTTTCCAAACTGCAAAACAGACTGAAAAGAAAGGCACCTTTAGGACCACTTTGTGGCTGCTAAAACTGCAGCCAAAGTAACCTTTAAATAACCAACATTTAAGTTTATTTTTAAATAATAAAAAAAAAAATGTCTAGAACAAAACTACTGAGGATCTCAATTAGGGTGTGAATTTAAATATAATTAACAAACATCATAGTGATGAACAGCAACATTTGTTTATTGGAAAAAAATGGCTATGCCTAGATTTAAGGTCCGAAAACATTCCTGTACATACAGCGTTTGTGATGCTGAGTGCTCGGAATACGAATCTTGTGAAACACGAGTCATGACACTCAACAAAAGAACTCAGAGACTTGTAGAAGCAAGATTAAATGGAAATGCTTTTCTTCTCACATTTGCTTTTGTTAACTCTATGGGTTAGGTTTAGTGTAGATGGAAGGCTATGTTATTTTTAAGCACAAAAGAGCATTAACCTTTTAGTGCCACTCAACAGAGATTTCCTTTCTGTACAGCCACACAAAAGCCACCGTGAAAAAATGTTGCCACATGCTTATCTGTTTCGGAGAAAATGTAAAAAGTTTTCAGCACCACTCACTGGACATTTTACTTTAAAAAAGGCACAAAGACTTGAGCTGATGTCTTTAACTGATTTGAACAGCTTGATTTCCATGAACTCATTGTCTATATCATCAAAGACTAAATCTGCTGTCTTGACATACAGTTGTTCTGCCTGATGATAAGTAATTGTTATGACGCTGTATGCACATTCCTGTAAATGGGTTTATTTAGAAAGCATTTGTGCAGAAAATAAATGTAAATGTAAAGATAGGACTGGGGGGCTCATGAATAACACATGAAATAGCTGTGGATTACTGACTGTTCAGAGATAAGCAGTCAAGTGACATCAGCTGATTAATGTTAATTTTATTTAGCATATTTAGTGTGGCACTTATGGAATCAATCATTCAGAGGTCACTGTAAAAAGAAGAAAATCTGCACTGTGTCACGCAGCACTGAGCAGCTGAATCACTGGACAAAACAAACAGGACTGCAAAACTAACATTTTATTATAGAATTATTTCGGATTTAGCTGTTAAACATGTTCATATGTATTATGGTTTGATGCAAACTCCATGCTTGCTATCACTCAATATGTGTAAACTGAGATATCAGATACAAACTTAATGTGTATTGAATAAGAAATATTAACAAACCCAGAATTCATCTATGATTAAGAATGAACTGATAATACAGTATGGGTCAAACAAGGTAGTAGGAAAGATTAGGGTGATTGTTACACTGTGAAATTGTCAAAAGGACACTGAATCTTCCCTTTAGAAATATTCACTGCGGTAGGTGATGACTAGACCTGGTCTCTCTATATTGCACATGTGATAGTTGAAATATGAGAGTATAAGACTATTAAAGGGTTAGATCACACAAAAATGAAAATTAGCCCATAAATTACTCACCCTCAAGTCATCCTAGGTGTATATGACTTTCTTCTTTCAGACGAATCCAGTCAGAGTTATATTAAAAATTGTCTTTCATCTTTCAAGCTGTTTCATGGCACTCAGCAGGTGTTGCATGCTTCAGTCCAAAAGAAGTTAAATAAAAAGCGCTCATCCATTAAAAAAGTGTCTCACACGGCTCCGGGGGCTGAACAAAGGCCTTCTGTAGCAAATCGATGCTTTTTTGTACGAAAAACATCCCTATTCAAAACTTAATAATCACTTTAATGTAGCTTGCGCTCACTGTTGTACAGTTCCGGGTGGATGACGTATGAGGTCAGCGCTGTGCATGCGCCGGTGAGTCTCGTGAAAACCAACGTTTGTTTACAGGAGCAAAGGAAGCAAAGTTTCCTTACTTTAGCAAAGGAAAACCAGTCTCCTCTTGGCTTATATTGAAATCCTCCGACATTCTTCTTTACAAATCCTTGTTTTGTACTTCTAATTCTTGACCGTTGTTTTGTTTTGAACTCTCCTGCGCTTCCGCGTGCATCACTTCTGAGCGGTGCATGCGCAAAGCCGACCTCATCTGCCCGGAACTGCTTCTGTTTACAACAGAGACGCCAATCAAATCAAAGAAGGTGGGCTCTACTGTTCACAGAGACCGAACACGAACTCCGAAGCAATGCTTTAGTGAAATAGTAATACTCAAGTAGCAAAACATTTTATATTTTACACATTTTTTTTATGACAGAGATGTAAAATGATTATATCCGTGATGCGAACTTGACTTCTTTGTCAAATTTCACCATTCTGAACTGAAAATATAGAATGAGTCCGTTTCCTGATTCATGTCAATAATAACTGAATCTTACAGGACACGAAACATTTTGCCATTTTCAATGCATTTTGCACACATTCACTTTTATTCAAAAGCCTTTATGGCAAAAAAAAAAATTCTTGTTCTTTTTCTTTTAGTCCCTTAAATCTGTTTAAATCCTTTAAAGGTGCACTAGGAGATCTTGGAAAATGCTAACTTTAGCCTGATAGCACTGAAAGCGAACGTCCCACCCTCCCAAAATGCAAATCGCAGTCCAAAGCCACGCCCCCTGAATGAATGAACGCACACACAGACCAGACGACCAGAGACAACATTAATACAATACATCATATGTCATTAACCGGTGAGAAACTTTATAGCACAGTTAGTAAAAGTAGTACAATCCCAGGAAGGAAGACCGGGTTGTTGATGTTTGCCTGCCATTCTCTGTCTGCAATAGCGTACGTAAACGCACTGAAGACGTATCCTGTCTGTGCGAACCGGATGCGCAGAGGCATGCAAATACATTATGTTGACAGTCAGGTACGAAAGCCAATTAAAACGCTCGGACATTTCTTGGTCCTATGACTTCCATAGAATATATAAATACATACATTTAGACCACTTAATGATTGCTATTGGGATGTGAAGATACTCTCAACCAGCATAACAAAAAATGTTTCTGAAGACAATAACCTATTGCACCTTTAACTCCTTCCCTGCCAAACATGGAATTTTTCTTGTTTCCATGTTTTCACTGTTATACGCTAGGGGGCGTTATTAAGCATCTCCTGAATGAGTCTAGAAAGTGCCGATCAAAAACACAGACCAGGAAGACGCAGAAACGAGCGATCTAATATGAATGCATGTGAAAAATAATGCGATCATCAACACTAACCGCGTATAAATGAAAACTGCCTAATATTACAGAGTGAAATGTCAATCCAGAAAGTGGTAAAGGCCTGTGCAAACTTTGGGAGTGCTGATGGAAGCCATCTATTGCATCTTTGCTTTGATCATATTACTGAATATGATCCAGATGTAGTATTTGATAAAAAAATTGATTTTCTCAGCTTTTTGCTCAAATGTTGCTTTTTTTATGAAACCTACCTACATTCAAGTGTTGATTAAAAAAATAAATAATGCTTAAATTAACAGCATTTTTAGAAATAATACATGATGATATGAGGCTCCTGTGTGATTTCTAAAAACTGACAAGAACAACTGTGACAGCACACACAAAACGTATAATTATTAATTCATCATTCAGTCAGAATGCGCAAATGGCATTTATAAGTAAATTTGCCACTGGTCTTTTTGAGACAAATTTTCTCATTTTTATTTGAATCATGTTTGTTTGTTAATCCAATATGGGAGTACTGAAGTGAGTATCTGAGTACTGAATTCCAACCAGCCATCAGAGGATCTGTAAAAATGTGTCTCTAACTATGAAGAGTCCCCATAAACCATAAAAACAAACGTGTGTGTGTGTGTGCAGAGGCGGACTTAACCATTTAGGCAAAGATAGGCGACCGCCTTGGGCCCCCAAAAGCCAAGGGCCCCCTAAAATGCTTTTTAAATGCGAGATGCGCGTTCAGTGCGGACGCACAAGTGGTTGCTCTGGTGTTCATTACCACGACAACCGTCTGTACGTGTCTTGAACGTGCTTCTTATCAAAAGTAGGGCGATGTAGAAAATGGGGACCGAATCTATTCATAAAAACGGAATTTACTGTAACGCGGAATGTGACGAAATGAACGGCGCAGACGGGCGTTTCGTTTGCTAGTTTGCTATTTAAGCACTGCAACGCTCGCGGTTGTCATCTGTAGTAGCTAAATAGTATTTTTGCTATTTAATATTCACATACACTAGTCCATATCGCGGTTTGATTGAAGTGTACTGACTTGCATTTCATTAAAGAAATCCTTTATTTATAACATGTACATGAAAAATCTAAAAGATTAGACACATCTATGGGACACGGTCGTGCAGCAGCGAGCAACAGTGAAAGAAACCTCAAGGTTGTAAAATTGTAAAATTGTATAGGGCCCCATTCCTGTATTTTGCCTGGGGCCCCCAAATCACTAAATGCGCCCCTGTGTGTGTGTGTGTGTGTGTGTGTGTGCAAGTCTTGTACACTGTAAAAACCAGCTATGTTCAGAGACTTTCACTGGCGTAGCCTGACATATTCATTCTGATTCAGTCAATAAATTAAATGACATTTCTGACTTTAGTAAAACCATTTCATTTAGATGTTAATACTTGAAGTGAATTTACCTAACATTTTTATATATAGTAGAGCACTCGATGATGTAAAGGAAATTAATTTAAAAGGAAAATGGCCTTTGCACTGTTGAGTTAATATCTTATCATATCGTATCATATCTCTGTGTTCATAATTAAGATGAATTAATACATTCAATTAATTTGAATTAATACATTAATACATTAATACATACCTTATTATTTAATAAGGTAAGACACAACAATTTGCAACAACAAACAGCAAAACAAGCTGTTTTGTACAGCTAAAGATAGCTGGACACGGATGAGACCGGAAGCCAGTCCCAGTCTTGCCCATTTTTACGGCAAGAATAAGGTGGATAAAAAGTGGTAATCTGCAATTCTGCTATTTGTGCCTGATTTATTCCATAAATATTACACTTGTTAAACATGTTGGGTTCAGTGAAGGTAAATAATATTATGATTTAAATAAAACCAGTTAATTTAGATGCAACCATTTTAAGGTTTCCATTTTTTCTACGCATCAGACAAGCTTCAAAATAGCAGACTCTTTTGAAGTCATACATACAGGAGCAGACAGAATTTAGGCTGTTATCCACTGAAAATCTCAATCTGTCACAGCTCTCAAATCAAATATTAGACATTTGCATTAAGCTTCACATCAATGGTCACAAGACGCAAAGGCAAACAACAACATTTGACTTCAGCGACACATTTGGGGCCAGAAAGAAAGTTTGTGTTAGACTATGGTAATATGATTTACATACATGCAATTTCATCCTTGCTTAACAATTGTTTTCTGCCTATCGTACTGCATAACGCTTTGTAACAAATGCCTGCATTGACCACAGTATCTCTGGAGGCTGCTCCTCTTTACATCAAAGAACAACTTGTTACCATTTATTGCCAAGACATTATTAGATAAAGCAGCTACTTACATCCCCAGCCTTTTATCCTTGCAATTATAGCAGTACATCTGCACCCTGATTCACCGAAATGTCTCCTGTGAGCTTAGTAAAACCGTCTCTTTATGCTTCCTGCACATGGAATGAGCTGCAGCATACTATTACCTTACAAACACTCTCCTCTTTGAATGCCCTATACAAACTGGAAACATGTTGCTGTTTTCCGTAATCCTTGACCTGGGGTGAAATGGCTATTTATGGATATCGCTAATATGACCTGTATGTCTTTCTTCTTTTGCTATTTTTCCTATGTTGTTTCTATGTTTGCATTTATGCATAAATATGTGACATTTTTTATATGAAAACTGTAGCTGCCATCTTCAATTGGAATTCCTGGAAGAGGTCTTGTATCACAATTAGACTTAACATCTAAATAAAGCACAAATAAAAATAAGTACAATATATGATTTGAGGGCTCCGGTGAATGGAAATATTACCACCAAATAACGACTTCTCACCCAAAGAAATCACACAGCTTCAGAGGACTTTAGCCATGAATTTCAGCCAGAGTTTAGCCTTGGACTTGTCGTGCCAAATATTCCTTTAAAGTGAAGTGTGTCGTTTCAATCCGTCCTGTTTGTTGGATAACAGGTCCAAAACTCTTTGGCTGAGGTAGACTGCAATTCTGTTTGATGCAACAAAAAACACTCACTGCACCTTTAAAGAGAATAGCACATGAAAAATGTGAATAAAAAATTCTAAGTCGAATAACATTTCAAGGGACCCATGATTAATATGTCAAAATTAGTTAACCAATTACCTCGGATATCCAGATCATTGGGGCGTTCATCGTATTTCTAAATTCCTTGAGAAAACTTCAAATGTCGACATTTTTACTTTGAGAAAAGTGACAACCAAATGATTCTGAGCCATCCTCAGTGGCATACAAAATATTTTAAAGCACAGTATTACATTCATACAGTCTTTCAACCAAATTTCCACAAATCCATCACATAGTATGTGGTAAAAGAGCAATGCAGCACTTGAAATTTATTCGCCAGAGGACTCTGGATAAAAAAGATTAAATGTCAAGGAAGAAAGAAAGCTGAAGGCTTGGCATTTTGTTAAAACTGTAGATGCATTTATGGCCCATAATTTGTGCATGCGAGGATGCAACTATTCTTAAATCTTAAACTAGCAGAAACTGCAAATAAACCAAATAAACAATTGCAGCCCAATTAAAATTCATTAGTAGCGTTAACGACTTTAAAGATCTGAACTCAGTACAGTTGTTCACATAATGAATATGACTGTTTTTTAAGCAGAGAAGAGAAATTATTTTCTATAACATTTTCTGAGTTATAATATGATCCCACGCGCAAAGCAATGTAGCAAACATGATGGACAAACCTGTAGACCGGTATTCGTCTGACAGTAAAACATTTTAAAGCACAGCTGAAATAAATTGTTCTGAGTTACTTGCGCGTTTCAAACTTAGCCTACTTACCCAAGGTGTTTCCGACCAGAGACACAAGGAAAACTATGATATATCCAGCTATGAGCACCCATTCATACTGTTTAGGATGCAAATACTCCCTCCAGATGTACTTGAGAAGTTCATCATCTTCATCGATGTGAGAATGGGAGTGGATTTCCGTGGAGTTCAGATGCTGCGCTGATGTTAAACAGTCATTACAGGCGTCATTAGCGGTGATCCCAGACATGTTTGGCGCAGAGCCGGGCTCTTTCTCCAGCATCGCGGATGGCTGACACTGCGTGAGTGAGGGGAGAGAGAGGGAGAAGAGCAGAAGACTGAGAGTTGGAGAGCATTGTGACGCACTGTGGACCTCTCAGCCTATAACCAATTAGTTAGCAAGACTGAGAAGTCAGAACCTACAGAATGCATCAAGTGATTGCTGCACGGTTCTTTGTATCTCATGAGGATACTCATGTTTATGTTACTGTATAGATGTCAGACCTATGTTGCATAATAAATGGAGCCTTATTATAGCCTACCTGTTATACACTAAAAAGGTGAAACGACCGTGCCATTTAAAGTGCATTTTAACACTCCCCATATAATAATAATAATAATAAATGCCGTTTTGTTTAAATTGTATTTTCACTTGACACCAGAGTGTTGATGTGCAGAACACATACTGGCTATAAATTTACTGACTGTGGTTTATTTATTTATTTATTCACTTATTTTGTTCGTTTATTTATTTATGTATGTATGTATGTAATGTATGTATTGGCTTGGGAATGTTGTAGTGGCTAGGGGGAAAAAGGCTTGACGCTCACAGTCCAAAAGATTCCATTGCCCACAGTGTAGTTGTTCCAAACTGCGTTGAAGAGCTAAAAATGAAGTAAAAAATGTTTACAATTAAAAATAAAAAGACAAAATGAAAAAGCACAAACTCAGTAAAATAAAGGATTGCAAAGATATAAGCTAGGCCTATTATTTTTTAGCTTTTGTTTATGGTGTAATTAAGTTGTAAAAAGCCAACAAACAAACAGGCATATGTCTTTGTGTGTGCGCATTTTTGTGACAAATGAGGACATACATTTGTATAATGACAAAGGTATGACAGGTATTACAAGGAGAAGGTGACTTTTCAGGACATTACCCCATGTCCCCACTTTTCAAAACGCTTATAAATCACACAGAATGAAGTGTATTGAAAATCTGAAATAGCACAAAGTCTCCTGTGAGGGGTAGGTTTAGGGGTAGGGTTGGTGTAGGGCAATAGCATATACGGTCTGTACATTATAAAAAACATTACGCCTATGGGATGTCCCCACTTTTCACAAATGTAAACCTGTGTGTGTGTGTGTGTGTGTGCCTGGTATTCCCTACGTTATGGGGTTCAAATGTTCCCAACAAGGATAGTAATACCCGTAAATGTGGCTTCCATGAGGAAAACAGCATATAAATCATACTGAATGAAGTGTCTTAAAAAGGAGGGAGGGTTTGAGAAACTTCATAGAGTTTAGAGTTCAGTTATGTTGGGATTTAGATCTGTTTCAGTTACATTGCGTTACCATTGTGGTAAAAACTAAAGACAGGAGCTTTTTTAAGGCTGAGGGCATATGTAAACTTTATTGGATCAAATCCTATCAGGGAACCATGTAAAATCACTTTGAGACTTCTTAATGTGGTCACTTCAAAATAACTTCATTTGACGTTGTGCAAGTTATGTGATCAAATTATGTTTGTGTTACTCAATTAATTTATTTGTGGAACTGATGCACATGATTAAACCATGTAAATCCAACACTCTGGCGGGGGTGCCATTTATATGACATTTATATGGCACTTGTTGTGCATTTTAGCTGTTCATTTACCCAACAACAGCGTTTTGGGGGCCTCAAAATGCAAACTTTTAAAAATGGGTTTCAAAGTGCAAATTTTAGAAACCGAAACAACATTATCATAAACTACAAAAACATGAATTTGTGAAAATGATGCCATGTGTATTATGTGTAGGTATGTGCGCAAGTGTGTAGGGTTTCTTTACAAAGTAGCATTGCCAGCTTCTGGCCTGGCATGAATAATACATGTTTTAGTCATTTTCGCAGATCTATGTGAACAGGGATTGTTTTGACAACGTTATTTGTATGCAAGATTTGCAAACTGAAACCTTTTACTTTTATAGCACATCGTTGTTGTGTAAACGTACCCTCAGTATCTGGAGAGTTCATCTTCAGCCTTGATTAAATGCATCTGATCAAGTTAATCAAGGCCTGGATTATATTTGAAAACTAAAGGTATGTGTGTTGGAGCAGGTTGCCCTCTAGGAGTTTGGCAACCCCTTTTTCCACTTTATGTTTTTGTCTTTTGGAAAGTAAACCTTTTAATTAATATTAAATGAAAACTTAAGGTTTAAGCCAAATCATAACTAATGGTTTTAACCCACCCACATACACACACACACACACTCACACACTCAAGTATATATATATATATATATACTTACTTATACCGCTACCCCATGTGAATTGTATTCTGTGAATACAAATTGGATGTCACACTGCAAAAAAATCCAAAGACAGAATTTAATTGTGCCTGGAAAAGCATTTTTAAAAAAATACTTTTTATGTTTAATCATTTTAATAAATATTTGTAAATTATGACATTGAGGGAATACTGTTGAAGTCTATCAGCATGCAAGCTGAAATGCGATGGACACAAAATGGCTAAAACAAGCGGCCACACATCTGGCGATGGATAAGCAGTCAATGCATTCATGACCTCTGTGACACACCAAGGTGGATCTTGTAAGCATTTATGTTTCTAGTTTGATGCTGGTAGAAATGTGTGATATGGTCATATAGACACAACCATTTTGTAAAAGATATAAAATATGAGGTTGACATGTCATTGCCTTGATAAGCACAAATTAATCCTCTGTTCTTTCAAAGGATTTACATATGAATAAATACATTTTTACTGTTGAAAGAGGTTGTCAAATAGAAATGTGCAAGAATTCCAGTTCACCGTAAAAGCTACTCTGAAATTATGCACAGTATGAAAGTGCATCCCTAAACTTAATCCTAGAGGAGCATAAACAAAACACGACTGAGATTTCTTAAGAATTAATACGAATTAGCTACCACATTCATATATGTAGAGCCAACATACCTCTGTTCCACGACAGCTTTCCAGCATCCCTCCTCCACCCCAGCTCCTCTCTCTTATTTTTTCCTTTCCTTCTCAAGGATGGGGGGAGTACTTTGGGTTTAAGTCAAATTTTGAGCTTTGAGCTCTCTCCTCGGACAGTACACCAAATTCATATTCTATACTGTATCTGATTAAGTGCAAAATTGCAAACTCTGATATAAATTAACTGAATGGTATCTTAGGCTAATTCAAGTCTTTTTGCATTTGGTTACATAACTAGAGGCTACTAGAGCTGACCAGATCCAGTTCAGGCCCATCTTGATGTTGCTGCCCAGTGTCTACAAACTGCGCCATGTGCCAAGAAACACTTGGCATTTCAGTGGATCAACATCTGTATCTCCTGGCCTTCCATAATAAACCACTAGATTAACTACTTTAGCTGCATCTGCATCTACCTGGACTTTACCATTCATTCCTGGATGGTACTCACAGATATATTTTACTGCTAAATGTGGACAATCAGCTATTACAGTATTCTAAGCATTAACATTAACATCATGAGCATACATTGTTGCATAGCAAGCACATTGAAGTGAAGTAATGTGTAGCCAAGTATGTTAACCCTTACGAAAAATAAGTTTATTCAAGTGTGCTATTAGTATACGTCTTTTAAACTAAAAATAGGAAAGTATACTTTCACCCATGTGAATTGTATTCTGTGAATACAAATTGGATGTCACACTGCAAAAAAATCCAAATTTTTAAAAAAATACTTTTTATGTTTAATCATTTTAATAAATATTTGTAAATTATGACATTGAGGGAATACTGTTGAAGTCTATCAGCATGCAAGCTGAAATGCGATGGACACAAAATGGCTAAAACAAGCGGCCAAACATCTGGCGATGGATAAGCAGTCAATGCATTCATGACCTCTGTGACACACCAAGGTGGATCTTGTAAGCATTTATGTTTCTAGTTTGATGCTGGTAGAAATGTGTGATATGGTCATATAGACACAACCATTTTGTAAAAGATATAAAATATGAGGTTGACATGTCATTGCCTTGATAAGCACAAATTAATCCTCTGTTCTTTCAAAGGATTTACATATGAATAAATAAATTTTTACTGTTGAAAGAGGTTGTCAAATAGAAATGTGCAAGAATTCCAGTTCACCGTAAAAGCTACTCTGAAATTATGCACAGTATGAAAGTGCATCCCTAAACTTAATCCTAGAGGAGCATAAACAAAACACGACTGAGATTTCTTAAGAATTAATACGAATTAGCTACCACATTCATATATGTAGAGCCAACATACCTCTGTTCCACGACAGCTTTCCAGCATCCCTCCTCCACCCCAGCTCCTCTCTCTTATTTTTTCCTTTCCTTCTCAAGGATGGGGGGAGTACTTTGGGTTTAAGTCAAATTTTGAGCTTTGAGCTCTCTCCTCGGACAGTACACCAAATTCATATTCTATACTGTATCTGATTAAGTGCAAAATTGCAAACTCTGATATAAATTAACTGAATGGTATCTTAGGCTAATTCAAGTCTTTTTGCATTTGGTTACATAACTAGAGGCTACTAGAGCTGACCAGATCCAGTTCAGGCCCATCTTGATGTTGCTGCCCAGTGTCTACAAACTGCGCCATGTGCCAAGAAACACTTGGCATTTCAGTGGATCAACATCTGTATCTCCTGGTCTTCCATAATAAACCACTAGATTAACTACTTTAGCTGCATCTGCATCTACCTGGACTTTACCATTCATTCCTGGATGGTACTCACAGATATATTTTACTGCTAAATGTGGACAATCAGCTATTACAGTATTCTAAGCATTAACATTAACATCATGAGCATACATTGTTGCATAGCAAGCACATTGAAGTGAAGTAATGTGTAGCCAAGTATGTTAACCCTTACGAAAAATAAGTTTATTCAAGTGTGCTATTAGTATACGTCTTTTAAACTAAAAATAGGAAAGTATACTTTCAGTCTAATTTTTATGTACTTCTCAGAAATATACTTAAAATGACATTTAAGTATACTTGACTTATATTTAGAAAAAGTCTTAATATATTTGAGCTATACTTGTGCTCCGAGAATGTTTTCATTGTTATACGGTAGGGGGCGCTAGTACACATCTTCTGTTCAGAATTTCCAAAACACAAGAGACGAAAAAAATGAAACAACAGATGCTTCCACATGTATTCTAACACCATCATCAGACATAAAACAGCATCAAAACTGTGTAACGTTATGGAATAAAATGTCGACCAATGAAGAGGTAATAATGACTGTCAAGCTGTGGGGTGTTGATCGACTTTATCTACGTTTCGATTATCATTCAGTCATTTTTCAACTTTTTGATAATAATCTTGTGTATTTCTTTATTTTTTTATTTATAAAACTTACCCACATTCAAGTGTTTCAAAAAAGAATGCATGAAGCTAGAATAAATTTTTTTTGTTTACAAGTAGATACCCTGTTCTTTATTTTGATGTTTTGTATGTTCAGATATTCATATAACAAAATATATGCAAATTAATACCTAAATAGGGACATAGTAGTATACTTAAAATATGATGTAAAGTTCACTTAAAGAAAACTTACGAGTATACTACTACTAAACTAGTAGTTTACTAAGATTATACTTCAAAGTGTATTAAAAATGCTACAAGTATTTAATTAGTAAACTATCAGTATACCTATAAGTTCACTTTTAGTATAGTTGCAGTACAAACTAAAAACATAGATGTAAACTAGTTGTGTACTCAAAGTTTACTACTGTTATACTTAAAGTATACCTAAAAGTATACTTTTATATACTAGAAAGTGAGCCAATTTAGTCCCAAGGAGTATTGAAATAGTACACTTACAAGTATACTACTAGTACAAGTATATGTGTATACTTACTACATAACGTATACTGAAAAATATACTTGAACTTTACTTAAGTATACTTCATAAAATAAACTTGAAGTATACTACTTTTGGAAGCCATATTCGGAATTTGTGCTCTGCATTTAACCCATCCAAGGGCACACATACAGCAGTGAGTAGTGAACACACACACACACAACGTGAACACACACCCAGAGCAGTGGGTAGCCATTTTTGCTGCAGTGCCCTGGGAGCAGTTGGGGGTTCGGTACCTTGCTCAAGGGCACCTCAGTCATGGGTAATGTGGGTGGAAGAGAGTGCTGTTCATTCACTACCCCCACCTACATTTCCTGCCGGTACCGAGAATCAAACCCACGACCTTCGTGTTCCAAGTTCACAACTACCCCTAACACAACACTTTACTTCCTGAGCCACCAAGTTTGTAAGAAATGTAAGATTTCTTAAGAATTCAAGCAAAATATTTGTATAGCATATGAAATTTAAACAAATACAGTTTGATTATAAAAAACGGTAAAAAATGCAAACTCATTTTAAAATAAAAACTCATGTCATGAGAGTTTGTTGAATAAGGCACTAATGCTAGAACCTGCTAAAGCAGTTCCAGCAACATAACTGTGTGCTTAAAGATAGATAAGAATATAACTGAATTAGCTTGTTTTTTCTTCCCAATTATACCTTTATATAATGACAAAAGAAAACTGTAATCCATGGGCAACAGAATAGGTCCACTTTTGTCATTAAAAATGTTTTACCTCCAAATAAATTAACAGTAAATTTAACAGATATGCTCAAACTGATGTGCACAAGAGATGAGGAGTCCAGTCATTTCAGTAGCCTAATAAAAGCTGCTTGGCTTTTGGGATGAATCACCTTAGGAAAGCCATGACCAGCCGATTCTCGTTAACACACCCTTGAAGGACTTGCTTTTGCTTTTGCATGATGCTGCATCCTCACTAGTAGCTGTCAGTATGAAGTCCAGGAATACTTACTACATTAATTAAAGCTGTTATATGTGTTATATACACAATATAAGCTGTTATCAAACTTGCTGTTAGTAAACTCAAACAAGTGAGTAAATTGCATGATTATCTTCCTGTTCCTCACATCACAATTCAGTTTCAACATCAGTGTCATGACCATTAATTTATTTGGTAAGTAGCCTGTTGGGACACAAGCAATAGTGACTGTATTTGTGTGCAAAAAAAAAAAAGTCCAACTGTAGTAAGAGAATAGCGTTTTGATATTGTTTGTTCAGTATACATTGTACTGTACATGTGCACTTTGTGAAATGAGACTCATTAATGCACATATTTAATAGAGAACTGTTTTGGATCAATCATGACACAAACAATCTTAACAATAGCTAAGCACCAATTACCCACAAACCGACATTATATATCTTGTATGTGTTCCAGCATTTCAATGTAGACTTTAAACAATCTGGGATATCTCTGGGAAGCATTTGTCCAGGCTGAAGTGCAATTTAAAGTTGTACGGATGGTTTACTACAGCTTGTAAGCAGACAAAAGTTGGTGTGTTTTTTTCCTTAGGTAATGTTTCAAGTGGCAATGACTCAAGTAACAGAAATAATTAACCCAGTCTGCCCATTATCCCAACACAAAACATTCCTTTTAACTGTACAAATAATATTAATAATAATAAAACAAAAGCTACTACAAAGTAACAGTGTAGCAGTGCTTGCAGAATTTTCCACCAGTTATATTGCAAACCTTCAACACTGGCATTAGCAATAATGCATTCAAGTCAATATCACTGTTGCACATTTTCAAAGCCAAAATGTGTAATTTTTTAGGATCTGAATTTTTTTTCTCCTATCCCAGTTTAATATGCCATGACAGTTTCAACAAGCCATTGAGCACGAGCATCCCAGCCAGTCTGACATAACAACCTTGGCAATAGTTAGGGGCAGGACTATCTGTTAGTCTGACCATTGAAAAGTGGAGAATAGTGCTTATTTAGAAACCTGTTTGAAAATACTTATTTGTGCAATTTTTGTAATTCCATTTGGTCAATATAGTGGTGCAGAAATGACACGCTTCAGTTTCAACATCATTTCACTAGTTATTTCAGTACTTATTCTTATGAATTAAATTTCCAACTCTTTGAATGAAACGGCCAATTCTATTGTCATGTCCCTGCGTCTGCTGGTTTGTGTAACTGCTATGATCATTCATGGGCTGTCTTCTTAAAAAGACAGAATTCCTTGTTTTCTCGCTTACGTGACTCTGTGCAGGTACATAGGCAGGCTGGCCTGCTGTGGGACGCCTGCTTTCAAATGAGCAAAGTGGCTCAAATCTGCTATACAGCCTGTTTACTGATACTTGTTGCTTTGACACCAGATCTGATCTGGTTAGTGTCGAGTCTGTCTTCTCGTTCTGAGAAACGACCGTGGATTGTTCCTGTGTTTTGGAAGTCTCTGCACTTGCAGGTGTGTGAGACGGATGAAGCTCTTCGGTGATAAACCGAGGTGCAGATGCCTCTCCCGCCAGGCCAGGAGAGTGATTCTCAGCTCCAGGGATCTTCCCATTAACTCGCTTCAGTCTGCTGCTCTCAACGGACTTGGTGGAATTGGCAGTGCTACCCTGGTGTTTCTTGCCTTGCACAGTGTCATCATAATCTGAGAGAATCGTATCTGTGCTGCTTCCCATTTTGAGACTTTCTGAGTTATTTCCTTTCGGGGAGCTGTCTCTCTTTTGTGGGATGTTTAGAAGGGATTTTATTTTCTTGGTGCTCTTTTTCAAGAAGCGCTGCGATGATGCGCTGTTTGGTTTCGGAGGCTGACTGTCCTCCGTGTCCAGAAGCGTTGCTGACACAGTTCTCGAGGGAGGCTCTTGCCATTTATTTCCTGAGGTAGTTTTGCTCTCATCTGCCTTTTTGAAATCATGATGTGAGACGGACCTCTGGTCCTCTTTGAAATTTGGTGTGTACGCTGCATTTCTGGGATTCTCGTTTGCGGACACGTTGCAGACTTTCTGTCTTCTAGGTAAAGATGCGTACATGTAACTAGAGGGCTCAATAAAGTCACTGTTATATGTATTGCACCTGGGATCGGCCAAGCTGTGTCTTTTGTATCTGTCATCTTGCTGGTAGTCATGCTCCTTGTTTGCAAATCGATTTTTGGCTCTGTTTAAACTTGCATATATTGCATCCCTTCCGGAGCTATAGGTCATGTTACTTCCTGAGTTTTCTAAAATCTGTAAACTGCGCCTCTTCAGCAAGTAGTCATCGTGCTGTGCAGTCTGATTCCAGTGGGTTGAGGAATACATCTGAGTGTTTGACTGAATTCGTGCCGGATCGTGGTTGGAGGACGCTGAATTATTGGAGTAGCTGTTCGTCTCTGGTTGTTCCGGTATGGTGGACGTGAAAACAACCGATGACCTGATACGAGAGTGTTGCAGAGGAGCTATTTTATTCTCCTCAAATTGGTCCAGATAATCGTAGTTCTCGCCATAAGGTGCATCGTTGCTGTTGTTAAGGTAAGACTCTATCCTCCATGTCCGAAGGAAGGACTTGGAAGTACTTGCTAAACTGGGCAGGTTTTGCCTCATGTTGAGAATTTGTTTGTCGTGGCCGTGGTAAGACTGGCGCATATTTAAGCCTCTGAACATCGGGTTGATGACGTAACTTTCATACTGGTTGTCCTCGTTGTTGGAGAAACCGCCATAATTGTTGCTCTCTGCTGCCACATTCCAATTACTAGAGCCATACTTGGGCAATTTTGGCAGATACACAGGCTCCTGCCGTTCTCCTGCGTAGCTGTGTCTTTTATAAAACTCTGATGTATCTTGAAGGAATCGAGCATGCGGTGTAACAAGTGGTCTTTCTTCAACCTCTCTCAGTGCCGAGAATCCTGATCTCCTTTCACAGGTTTGCCGGTAAACAGCGTCCAGCGTGTGCCTTAAATGATCTTTCCTTTCAAAGGGGTGGCTGGAATGAATCAGATATCCATCCATTTTTCCATTGGGCTTTGTCTCACACTGGTTCACACTGGCAGTCTGAAACTGAGCTGGGACTGTCGATCGAGCGTACAACGTCCGAAATTCCTCATCGTAAGTCTCCACTAATTGGCCTGTTATAACCTGAACCATGCTGAGGTTGATCTTCTCGTAAGACCACATGAAGCTGTCAAACAAGAAATGAACATAAGCATAGTTATTAAATTCAGTCCTAGCAACATATGCAAGTGTGTTGGAATGCAGTTTATTTTGGGAAAGTTTTAAACGACTGCAATCATTTGAAAAATGCTTCTGAAAGCCAGAATTAGTCAAGTAGTCATTTTTGAGAATCCCAGAAATAGAGCATGCACACCAAATTTCAAAGAGGACCAGAGGTCCATCTCACATCATGATGTGCACTGTTTGTTGACATACAGTATGTTAAATGTTTTTGGAGTCCTTATATAAAGTAGCCCAGAGAAGTATATGGACACTTAAGACACTTTTTATGCATTTTTAAGCATAAATGGCTTTGGATTATAATGCAATAGCCATTTATTTTCATTTGTGCAAATCACTTCACAAAAAATTATACACATTACAATAATAATAATAATAATAAACAAAATCTAAATTAATACCCTGAAGGAAACCCAAACAAAAAAAATATTATTATCATTAAATTAATTAAAAATAAAATAATAAGAAAACAAATGCCGCCTCACCTGTATGATCCAAAAAATACTTTTTGGCAGTCAACAAGAAGAAATTTCTGCCCCATTCCTCCATGGAACTTTACCCCAGATTTGCAACAATATTCCTGGCCTTTCACTGTGCGTATCCTCATATTCTATAGCCAAGGAAAAAAAAGATAGATATATTTTAGCAAGAAAACAAGCAAATATAAATATGCAAGTATGCATATATGGCATGCTGTCTGAGGGGAGGGCTCTGAGCTCGGAATTTAGCCCAAACCCAGAGAACTCCCTCACTATCCCAAGCCGGGATAGGAATAGTTAGGAGGGAGGAGTTAGGGTGGAGGAGGGATGCCAGAAAAAGTTAACTTGGCTGCATACATATTTACTATTATGCTAATTAAGTTGATTATCTGAACATGCTCTAACTGTGCTAAATTAGTTGATTATCTGAACTGCTCCTCCCAAGCTTTGTTAATAAAACATCAAGTACCACATTGTTTCGGGCACAAGCCTGAATGTAATTAAGAAATGTGGTAACACTTAAGATTAGGGAACACCTATTCACTATTAACTAAGAGTATGCCCTCAATAGACTGCAAATTTGCTGCTCATTAATAGTTAGTAAGGTCTTTGTTAGGTTTAGGTATGGGGTGGATTAAAGTAGCTAGAATATCCGGAATATGCCATTAATATGTGCTTTATAAGTACAAATAAGCAGCTAGTTTATAGTGAATAGTGTTCCCTAATCTAAAATGTTACCAGAATTTAAATTCAATTTAAATTAGTTTTGTTCTGAGAGAGTTCTCAAAAAGTAGTAATGAATATATGATTGATTGCCCTTAGTGAATATAATCGATTATTAAAAAGTCTGATGCAATATAACTTCCGCCTTAATTTTCTTTCTTGCTAATGTGACAATTATCTCTTACTATTCCTCCAACCACCTTTTTTTATTCCGGTTTGTAAGATGTACTTTTCATCCAATCAATTCCCAATGAACAAAGTCCTGTCCAGCATTTGTTTCCTACTGAATATCCCTTTTTACTCAAACATATGTGACCCTGGCTGGAGCACAAAAGCAGTCTTAAGTCGCTGGGGTATATTTGTAGAAATAGCCAAAAATACATTGTATGGGTCAAAAGTATTGATTTTTTTTAATGCCAAAAATCATTGGGATATTAAGTAAAGATCATGTTCCATTAAGATATTTTGTAAATGTTGTACCATAAATATATCAAAACTTAATTTTTGGTTAGTAATATGCATTGCTAAGGACTTCATTTGGACAACTTTAAAGGCGATTTTCTCAATATTTTGATTTTTTTTTGCACCCTCAGATTCCAGATTTTCAAATAGTTGTATCTCAGTCAAATATTGTCCTGTCCTAACAAACCATACATCAATGGAATGCTTATTTATTCAGATGATGTATGGAACTCAGTTTCAGAAAACTGACCCTTATGACTGGTTTTGTGGTCCAAGGTCACATATGTTGTATTTGGTGTTTCATGTTGATTTGATGAGAAATTACACAGAGACATTGTTAAGTCTGTTTAGCAGAAACAAAATGAAAGGCAAACAAACCTCATTATTGCTTTGCAAACAAAGATAATGACAGTAAGTCTGTCTGGTGAGGCCAAGGGTCCTTTCTTATCACTGCTGCTAGAGCGACAAAGCTGTTAACATTTATATGGTCCATCTGTGTGCACCCAAACAACACTAATGACGATGGGCATGTCTTGTGCAACTGTAAAATGAAAGTTTCTTGTGTCCACGGTGAAGAAAGTCTGTTAGATTTCATTTAAAATAGTAAATCAATCATAGAAATTTTAGGATCTGTATCCGTTGCTGTTGCTATGCTGTGTGTAGTGACATTTGAATATATTGAGTTCACAGACATTCAAAAAATGTCAGTAGCAGAAAAAGGTGTGGTGGAAACAAAATTTTAATTGCAGCTTGTTTTTCATAAAATAATCGTTAAAGCCCTCTGGGAAGAAGTGGGAGGGACAGTGTTTCCATTTCATAGCTTCTTTATATGGCTCGTCATCAGAACATGAATGTTTCCGTCATATTTGACAAGAAAGTCCAAGTCAGTAAATGGGTAACTGATTTGCTCACAAAGAGCAAAGACGGTCTTTAGTTGAAATTGATAAGGTCGAAAATGTTTTCTAATATTCTTTTGGTGGTTATGTACAGTATATGTTTAAGTTTCTCAAAGAACAGCTCTTTCATTTCAACAACTTTCATTTCTTTATCGCCCTGAACAAAGAACAAAAAGTTCTGAGAGACGAGAGCTCCGTAAAAGTAACAAGAGTAACAGCATGACAGGTATGCAGATTGCTGTTGACATTTTGTTTTTCTGGTTATGCATTCTGTCAGTCAAATTTTTACATTGACATCAGCCCCAGCCATCAGCTAGAAGAATATAATGCAGATAAATGATGAAATCTAGTCACACGCAGGAATCAAATATATGTATCTAATAACAAAAATTGCATTTGTTGCCCTTGACACCTGCATTTTGAAGCTCTTGAATCAACATGGTCACAGATATACAATTGCTGTCCCCTGGGAAGGTCCTCGTCAAGAGTTTGAAAGCCGCAACTGCATGATGTGTTTAAGTGATTTTGGCCAGGAATAGAATCTGTGTTTCTCTCAGGATGACAGAAAGCCTTTTTAGCACGGTTGTATTTTCATTATGCCACAGAGAACAGGGATGCTTGTCAAACAGAAGTAGCATCATACTGTGTCTCTCTTTCTCTTGGCTGCTTGGTTGATGTTGGAGCTTGAGATAAACTCACAGTCTCGCTCCCTCACAGTCACAAGTACATTTGATCATGATGCAAAAGCCATGCCGAAATATGCTTATGTGGGTAGACGTGTAAAAACTGAGCTTCATCTTATGACACTATTCCTGCCATTACGTTTGCAGTTGCGTCTTCTTCGTCCTTTGATTTGTTGCTTTTAGTGTGGTGTTCTGGTTAATGCACTTCCATAGTAAAAATAATCTTTATGGCTCTGTTTGAAATATTTGACAAAATTTAAGAAATGTTAATAAAATTAGCCACATTTTACAAATTAATCTAAACTGCACCATATTTATGAAATGGTCATTTATTAAAGGGGTCATTGATTATGATTTCACCTTTTTAACTGTAGTTAGTGTGTAATGTGGCTGTTTGGTTGTAAACAACATCTGCAAAGTTACGATGCTCAAAGTTCAATGCAAGGGAGAAATTGTCTTTTACAGAATTCACATTGTAAGGCCTACAACAAATGGCTGGTAGGGACTGCAACGAGCTACTTCCTGTGTCAGTGACATCACAAACCCTGAAATGTACATAAGCCCCGCCCCCATGCAAAAGAGGGGGCGGGGCCATGTTGGGCTGCTTTAAGCCTTCTACACACTGCACAATTTTAGCAATGCTATAAGATTATTATAAATCACTCTGTGCAACATGAATCAAATAAACTTGTATGACATGCATGCAATACTGTACGATGATGACACCTCGTGACACGTACAGTAGACTATGATGCAAGTTACTACTGAAGAATAAAATTAGCATGTGCTAGTGGTAAACAAAAAGAGCATGGTGAAGCACAGTTTGGCAGTTGTACTTTTTAAGTTTGCTGACAAAAGAGGAAGCTGTGAAAGAGGAAGTGAAAAGAGTTTGAGGTAAGCAGTATTAAGTGTTAGCGCCATGTCACGTTGATTTCATTTTGCGTTTTTATTGGCTGGCCAGTAAACGTGGGTCATAGCAGCAAACACAGTGTGCAATTATCATGCTGAATTTCTGACACTGTGAAAAAATATTTGCAGGCTATCTTTGGTTGCAAGACCTTGACGACGGTCATCTCAGAACGGCTCTACACACTGAGTTTCAGCTGTCCCAGACGAAAGATTGGCATTGTGAAACAGTTGTGGCGATTTCTGTGATTGTGGCTCCTAAACAGTGGTCCTGTGTCATATAATGTGAGAGGTTCAAAGACGGCCGTTGTCACAGTCTTTACAATCAAAAGCATTGGCCATTGTGTCATACACACAAAGTCACAACACTATCATGGTAACACACATGACACTGTATTTGTGTGCGCTCATCTCTTAAATAGAAATTAAATTGAGCCAGAATGATCTGGAACAGCATTTTGACAGTTTGTTTGTCAGTTGATTTCATTTCCTTATGTTTCAGTACAGAGAGTATGTTTTGATCAAGTACACACATTCTGTCTCCTTTAGCGAGAGCACTCAATCGAGAAAACCCTTTTATGCACAGGTTCATACATTAAGCAATATGCTTCCCTCTTGTCAATGATAGAGAGGCAACATATTTGTCTAGATAGATAGCAGAACGGGACGCTCAGACACACTCAGACACACACTGCACTTCGCTTCACTGCCTGTTCTGCGTTTCAGTGAAACCACACAATGAAACGCAACCAAATGCACACTTTCTGATATGCAGTAGCGCAGTTGGCTTATTAAAAGGTGTATACAAGGCAAAGCCAGAATCATACCACTGGACCAAAACATAACATAACAAATCTCTATATTTGTTTTATTCTTTTTTGCACGTTTGTTTTCTAGCAAACATATTAAAAACGGTGTTAATACAGTAAATTATGCTGTTATGGGATGGAGGTCATTTTGATGACACATGACTTGAAGGCAATATACAGTAGAATATGCGCACTTACCCTGAGTTTTTGGATTTGGATGTCTTGTTTTTCTGTCATATTGAGAAAGCATTTGAAGTGATTGTGGTCGAGGAGAATGTAGACTGGAACACCTCTGACTGAGGCATCCACCACTTCTTTAAAGATGTCCACATCGGCGAAAACATCCATTGCGATTGCTATGACCTGAAAAAGACATAAAAATGAAAACGTCAGCCTAACGTCAGGATTTTGGGGCATTCGCTTTCAGAACAGGCAGTCTACGATATTCTCTTAAGTCAATGACATCCCTGTCAGTTACACAAAGCTGAACAAAGCAGAGGTGCGAAACAGAGGTGTCAGCCCAGAAGCTGCTTCAGTTTATTAAAACGGCACCCTTTGTTTTTCTGCGTTTTCAGAAAAATCGCATCTAGACCGATTTCAATAACGTGAAAGGTGGCTTTCATGAAACCGACAGGGGATGATATGTATTTTCTTGGGCCTTTTGCATAATATTAAACAGAAAGAAGTCAGGGGAGAAGACTGTAAAAGGTCTAGTCCTAGCATTTGTCTTTCAGGAAGACCAACATTCCTTGATTCAAGCCTTGACAGGTTTAAGATGTTCCATTAACACTCAATGACAATGAATCTTAGCGTAAGTCGTATCTCGCCACACCCTAGACAACATGTACTGATTAAAAAATGATTAAATAAAGAATTTCTACAGAACTTGATGAGACCTTGTAAGTATGAACAATGTTGTCCAGCATATAATCTTGACCGACCTTTACAGTATTGTATTTCAAATAAAGCAAAGAGAGGCTTTATGAGAGATTTTACCTTGACTCGGGTTGTATGGTACCACTCAAAAATGCACAACAGGGGTAAAACAGCAATATGAAAAAAGATGCTTCATAAAATAATGGTTGGAAATAAGCAAGCCTTCAATTATGCTTGTTTAGCTCATCAATTCCGCACACACTCACATTTTTAAACCGAGTATATCTTGTCTTTACTTAGACATAATCATCATAACCCATGTGTTTCCTACATGCAGTACTTTTCATTAATGGCTCACATTGAGAGTCCTCATGCATTCTTATTCAAAGTGTCTCTTCTCATCCCCATCTTAAGGAGCCGTTCAGCCTTTCTAATTTACTTGTTCATGTGTCATTGAAATACTGAAAAGGCTTCCTTAATGCCAGGCAGAATCAAAGCTAATAATATATTTTTACTGCTTTTAAGATTCCTTTGTTCTGAAAACACGAGTACAAGTAAAGCATACGCAACACCGCACTGGGAAATACAAGTAAATGCTTATAATGGCAATTATGATTTAAAAAGCTTGCAAAAAAAAAAGAAGAATATATTTCTCACACCTGCTTTCACACTTTTATGCAAAAACCCATCAACAACCCATTATACCAAAAAACGAAGTAAAATTCCCGGGAACCTCACACTGCTGATGTGCTGTCGATATATTCCATTATATAATGTTCTATTGTCTAAATAATTGAAACCGCCTTCAGTTTAATTGAATCTTGGCTAGTATATCAGTCGATATCATTTGGCACCATAGATTAGTACCGTCCCCCCAAACACACCTGACAAGATACTGTATACATCGCTCAAGTCTTTCATTGCTGTGAGTCGACTCTAGGGAGCACATGTAATCAGAGTGCCAGATCCACACGAGGTGCAGTTCATTCAGCACACTGAGATTGGTTTGTAAACCCACGGCCTCGTGAGATGCTGTCCTATGTGGTCGCCTAATGGGTCTGACTCTGCTCTGCACGGGGGGAAAAAACTGAAAAGTGATCCATGATCGGTTAAGATTTTTGTTCACATGCAAAATGTTGCGCATCTTGCACTGAAAATGGAAGCCAAATATTAACATCAATGAATCATACCAACAAATCTAATTTTGATCGGTTAAAACAGGTAGAAGCAGCTCTTTAAGGAAACAATTGTAGGTTGCCACATAATGAATTAATAACTTTAATTTATTAACAAATTAATGAATTATACCACTATAAGCATATCCAACCTTAAACAGATACATACTGTACACGTTGAGTGGTATATCAGCTTCTTGATAATTAATATCATTGTAAAATGTAAACAATATTATCGCCCAGCAATATATTGAAAGTTACAGTAGATGTATAGTACATCCAATTTTACTTGAGTACAATATACTCACACAGAGCAATACTGTATGTGACCCTGGAGCACAAAACCTGTTTTAAATACATTGTATGGGTCAAAATTATAGATTTTTCTTTTATGCCAAAAATCATTAGGATATTAAGTAAAGATCATGTTCCATGAAGATATTTTGTAAATGTCCTACCGTAAATATATTAAAACCTAATTTTTGATTAGTAATATGCATTGCTAAGGACTTCATTTGGACAACTTTAAAGATGATTTTCTCAATATTTAGATTTTTTTGCACCCTCAGATTCCAGATTTTCAAATAGTTGTATCTTGGCAAAATATTGTCCTATCCTAACAAACCATATATCAATGGCTTATTTATTCATCTTTCAGATGATGTATAAATCTCAATTTTAAAAAATTGACACTTAAGACTTTTGTGGTCCAGGGTCACATATAGCAAATTTATACTGCATGATTGATAATTTTGGTACAAAAGGTGAATTATATTATGGCTTAGCTCTACATGTAAAGTTGGATCTAACTTTATCTGCATACATACAGTATACTCGTGTAGGACGATATATGATATAGCAAATCTCAAAAGTGTGATTGCTTGTATCGTTGGAAAATGTAAACTATATTATTATCGCTCAGCTCTAATTGGCTAAATATGACTATATTAAAGTATTATAAGCATTAACATCACATAATGCTGTAATGCATGTTGGGAGCTTGCAATTTAGGGTGAATAAGAAATTGTTTTTCAGAGAATTCTGTTTAGCTATCAGGGACAAGACTTGGGAGAAATCAGTCATTTTGTTTTTGCATTGTTATGTAGACTGTAGATTATCATTATAAGTAATGATTCACAAATATGTATTCATTAAGAAACCTTTCATAATTTAATGATTTTCTCCATCCACATATGGATTGGGAAGAAACATAAAGTCCATTATATAAAGCTTAATCAAATGATAAGATCACATCCTGTTTTTTGGGGGGTTTTTTACTTATAAAGTCATCAAATTTGACCAACAGTGAATTGATGAGAGCAAATGTGGATGATATTGTTCTCAATCACAAGCATGTATCTCAGTCCATCTTTGTAAATTGTTCATTAGAAGCTCTTAGACGTGCTTCCTCATTATTAAATGAGCCAGGGCTTTAATCATCTCTCATAATCAAAACACAAAGAAGACTGCATTGCTCAGAAAGGATACATTGCTTTCTCACTTATCAATAATAAAGACTGCTCCACACCCCAGAAGCAAGGTTTTCTTTGCATGACAAAATGTAGTTTTTTTTGTTGTTTTTTTTATGTGGTAAAGCTTGCTTCTCATAGGCACACCTAGATATTTCTGGCACTCCTGTCTCATCAACTGCAAAGGGAGTGATCATTTCAGCATTGCACATTGCACAACTAGTTTCATTGTTTGCTGTGTGTTTGTTCAGCACAGTTTAGCTGCCACTGTTGCTGGGGAGAGACTGCTGTAATGTATACATGACTGATGCCTGAGGGAGAAAGTGATGTACCTGGCCTTATCACATCTTTAGCAAGAGTTCAAGACATCACAACTGTGGGGCTGCTTTCAAAAGCCATGATTTAAAGGAAATCAATTCACAGCGTCCTCTGTGATTATCAGAGAATCATGAGGTGAACAGGCAGGGCAGTGAAAATGGTTGGCACTTTTCCTATACTCCTGTAACAATGCAACGGTTCATTGCTCTGACAGACAGCAACGCTGTTCTCATCAGTGCCTTGTACCAAAAACTTGTACAAGATTATGGACACCTACTCATTAAAATTATTCAGACCCAGAAAGAAAAAAAAAAAAACATTCACTACATTGGTGAATGATATTTCAGAGTCAGTTTAAGGGTTTAATCCTGAAGCCAAATTCCAAAACAAAGAACCAAGAAATTGTATTTTGCTTTAATTTTCATGGCAATTAAGTGCATAAAAAATTAAAATAAAATAATAATAATAATAAATACAAAATCAGTGGCTATTTTTTTTCCTGTTCTACATGTACATACTGTAGGAAGTAATTATAGTAATTGCATTAACTGTGAAATAACTGTGTAATAATCAGTTAAGTAGGTTGAGAGCTGTAGTTCCAACCACGTAAGTTTGTGAAGCTGTTTACGGTTTCGGGAAACACTGAATCGTTGAACTATGCTGGTAACGACGGAACTTGCGACCATAATTGACTAATGATGCTTTTGGGAAACGCACCCCAGATCTGTTACCACTAGGCTACAATATCCTTCAAAAGCTCAGTTTGATTCTAGGGCATTCTTGAGCTACGTGCATGTGTTTTTCTTAACTCTGAGCGCAGTTCAAAAGCACATGATCTACAGAAGGACTGGTTTCAAAGAGGCGTTTATTTACACCCCTTTCAGCATGCTGTTTTATCAACATTACCTGCCTGGCATCCTGTATTTGTTTGCGGATCACTTCCTTGATAGTGGGGCTGTTTTGCCTCGGTGGAGGACGTATTGTCCTGCGAACAGTCCACATCCTCTGAGTGGTTGCTGGTGGGGGGCTGCACAGCGCTCTCTGTAATATGGTTGATTTCCTCCTCAGAGAGGAAACCGCATATCCCTTCCTCTTTGATGAAATTTCGATAAGAAGCTTCTCCCTCTTTGACCAGGCAGTCGATGGCTAACCGATACGCTTCCTTGTAATGCGGCTGTATGTAATCTTCCGCCTTGAACTCTCCCTTTGAGGAGGACAGCAGTGAAAAATCGGATTCCATCACAGTGTCGATTTGGATCCCTCAAAACTCTGTACAGCCTTTGCTACCTAAGAAACAACAAACATGATGTTCAGCAATTCTGTACATCAACAATATTCTGTAACAACTCACCTAGATACATGCATGATAGCATCTTGCATGGATTTCAAGTTTGGTTAGGAGCTTCGGTAACACTTTATTTTGATGGTCCCTTTTGAGCATTCTGTTGACAATAAGTAACCTTGCACTTACCTGTCAACTTACTCTAATTAGAGTGTAAGTAGACTGTCTGATTAATATCTGCCAACTCTTTATTGTGATGGTGTCCCAACAGACATTCTACTGACTATAAGTAACTTTGCAAGAACATGTCAGCTTAATCTAACCCTAACCCTACCAGTCTACTAATACTCTACTGACACTGTTAAAGGGATCATCAAAATAAAGAGAAGCTGGAGCTTCTTCTTGGCCTTTAAAACAGTGTTTTCCAAGCGTTACACATTTCTTGCTTATTGGTTTCAGCCACATATGTTTCCAATATGTTTTTATTCTACAAAACCACTCAGAAAAAGCAATAATTACTGTAGCTTTGAGCTTCAGGTCCTGCCATTTATCTTAACGCTGTTGCTATCATGGTTTGTTTCATTGCAGGAACTGTTTGTTTGAACATGTTACTTCTCCACACTCATTTGGTCTGGAATGATGGATCTCATGCATCAGTACCATCAATTTAAACTCACTTTTTTTTTTATGTTGTGTCTTTAAGACATAATATCCTCGGCCAACTATTCTACAAAACCACTCAGAAAAAGCAATAATTACTGTAGCTTTGAGCTTCAGGTCCTGCCATTTATCTTAACGCTGTTGCTATCATGGTTTGTTTCATTGCAGGAACTGTTTGTTTGAACATGTTGATCTCATGCATCAGTACCATCAATTTAAACTCACGTTTTTTTTATGTTGTGTCTTTAAGACATAATATCCTGGGCCAACCAGCAACAGAAAGTAGAAAATCATGTCTGTAAATATTAGGCATTTAGACTGGACCCAAAAGTTCCCTACCCAAAGTTCATTTTTCATTAGGATTACTGCACTTGTCAAGCCATTACATCTGACTTGTATTGTGTTTGATTGGTATTACTATTATTACTAAGTTATTACTAATATTAGTTTCGATAAGTTAATTACTATTCTTCTTATTATTATTATAAACTGTTGCATTGCCTGGCACAGCTGGGTTTGTGATCTCAACGTGGTGGCCCCCACAAGGTACCTGTAAAAGATATTAACTTTTTTGTTGTGTTTCCCTTTTGTTTTGTCATCTGGTCTGTTTAGTTCTTCTGTGCCCTCATTCAGTTCAATGATTCATTAGTGCTCATTAGTTAATTCCCATCACCTGTTTGTCATCAGCTACCTGCCTTATTTAAGCTCAACCTTTGGTTCTAGTCTTGTTCCGGTATTGCGTCTATTTAACATCTCTACATCTACGTCTAAGTTACGTCTATGCATCTACGTTCAAATTGGTGTGTGTCAACTCCTCGTCTATGTGGTTTATCTTCATCCTGGATACTATTAAACTACTTGCTGAATTTCATCATCGTCTTCGTGTGCCTTCCTCAACACCACCGTGACAGTACCCACTGCATATAGAATAAAAGAGTTTGTATTAGGTAATTGAAATGACTGGAGTCTTCATCTCATGTAAGTCTCATGTATGTGAAAATCTTTTTTTTTTTATGAGAGCACATTTAAAAGACTGAGCAACAGCAGTGAGCAAACTCTCCAGATGTAGCATGTTCTGCGGCTGATGAAATTGTGAGTGACTCACTGTTCCTATAACGAAGAAGCTGCCCTGTAATTTTTTTTTTACAACTGAAAATGCGAGAAAATGTTGATGTTATCGAATTGAACTGCTTTGAGTCTGGCCAACAGACGCAACCAGAACATTCCACTTCCAACTTAATAATGTTTGCTGGGTGCAGGACAGTTAGTTTAGTTAGCTGACACTCTCTAAATGTTGCCGCTAAGTAAGTCTATAAACCCTGAAGAAAAATAAAGTTATCCCAATCATCTCAATAGTTGGAGAACCCTTCAAGCCTGCTAATGGCCACTTAGACACAACTGTTTGAGTCAGTTACATAAGTATCAATAGTCCTTCATAATGATGTGTTGTTTGTCAATATTAAGGATTTGATAGTATATTGTCAAGTAAATATTAAAATAAATCAATCAATTAGTGCATATTAATAGAGCTCTTTGGAAACAACCAGGTCATTCATTTGGAAAATAATTTTCTGTTTGCTGATTGCAGGACAGTTATAGATGGTATATCTATTACCAAGTAAGTACAATTGAACAAAACAGTAGCATATGCATTCAGGTGAAAACCACACACTAGAAAACCTTGATGCCATTAAAAAAAAGGTTATTTCCCAGAATTCATCAAGGTTCATCCTATTTCAAATTCATCCCATTAGGCATAATTAATTCATTCAACTTGACTTGACTTGTTCAGCAGGTGCTGGGATCTCCACAGGCCTAAAGCATTCACAAGGGGTTGGCATTCAACTTCAAGTCATTCGGAGCCCCACCTGCTCTGACACACTGATTAATACGCTGACTGAATAACAAAGGCAGTTTTAGTCAACCCAAACTAAATGCTGGGTGTTAAACAACTCAATTTGTGGTTCTGTGAGAGAAATTTGCTACTACAATAACAATATTTTTTGATTGCAATAGGATGTTGCTGATTTATATTGTATATTTAAAAGATTTTGAAAATGAATTTTGCTTGCAAAAGCACAGTTTCTCTAAACACTTCATTCAGAAAGAAAAGAAGAAAAGAAAAGTTCGTTTTGAGGGGGTCCAGGAAACTTTTCAAATATTTGTTCATCTTCGAGATCATAAGACATCAGCACATTCCAAAGATACAACTAGAACTAAAATCCATGTAAATCGTTTGTGAGAACCCTATTTACTTCATTGTACACTTTCTCAGAACTAGTCCGTCACAGTGTCATGCACTAACATTGTGAAACTTATCTTTCAATATGCAAAATCAATACAGGCAGGCATATAGCAAAGTAACCTGTCATCTGTACTCTGCAGCTTTCTTTCACTGGCTCCAAACAATTCAGTACTTCAGTAACATTGAGCATGACATTCAAGTCTTTGCCATTTGTAAAAAGTTACTTACTTAAGAGGAAATCATCATGCTGTGTCTCTTAGCATTCTTATCCCGTGTTGTACCAGTAGAGATGAGGTATGTCACAAGCTAAAGGAGATTTGTTAGTCTCTGCAAAAAAAATTAACTGAATGTGTCTGAACAGGAGAAGTGCTGAAAACCTGGTGAAGGGTGGGGACTCAAGTTTTCACATGCAAATAATGAGAGCGTCTCACTGGCCAGAGGCAGTAAACCTGTCTGACATACCGAAGACACGCCTCTTCCCCTCTATCTTTCAGTCTGTGTCTCTATCCTTTCATAGAGTTCATAGTTCACTGAGATAAAGTTGACAGTTTCTATTTCTGACAGAGTCTAGTCTTCTCACTGACAGAGATGTTTTGTAAATGTGACACGTACAATGTTTCAGTGACTTCTTTCTTGTTGTACTAAATCAAGTCCTTCACAGCGTGTATAGGAAGGCAAGGCATGCTAATGTTGGTCTCTTACTGAGAGGAAATCGTTTTTTATGAATGAATTCGTTTATTTTTGGAGGCATGTTTTGATCTATCAAAACACTCCTGACGCTATCTATGCACTGTCGTCTTCAAATTCCCAGACCTCCAAAGATCAAGGAGACTGTCAAAAAGCTTCTGGGCCTGTACTCTGCAGCTTTCTTTATTTATTACTCTGCAGCTTTCTTTTCATTATGTGCTTGCCATAAATGATCGCATCTCGACTTCAGTGGGGTATGCTGCTTATTCTGCGGTCCTTTGTGTGGAAGGAACACAGGGAGTTTTCCTGTGGGCGGTTTTGTCAGTTTACCCCCATACATGCTCTTTTGTAAGTGAGCATTTCATAATCCTTGTCATTGTGATGATTCATTTGTAGGACTGAGAATTGAGAACCGTTTCATTTCTGAAGAAAACTGAATTCTCGATGTGGACAGAACATATAGTAGTCTGATGGTGTTTTATGTGTTGAAGCTCCAAGGCGCTACTGAATCTCGGGCACAATGGCAAAAGCAATTGTTTTTTGTCTTGAGGGATCAGCTGGCTGTAAGAATCAAATGTGATGCGAGAGAAAGACCAGAATACAAACAACGCAAGACATAAAGAAATACCATATTTTTTAAGTGTGTGTATTTTTTATTATTGATTGATCAAAAATACACACAATCTAGTCTGAAACTCATGTGTTATTTGTGTACGTGTACTTATGGCTTGCGAAACTTAAATCAGTGCAATTACTGACTGGCTGTTCATGTGACCATGGTTGAGCACGGCAAAAACCCAGAATTTGGCAGCAAACTCCATCTGTCTTTATTTGACATGCCAGACTGGGAAAAACCCTGTTATTAGCCCCGCCACCTTGCTTAGGAGATGCATTCTTTCATGTCTTGAGGGATCAGCTGGCTGTAAGAATCAAATGTGATGCGAGAGAAAGACCAGAATACAAACAACGCAAGACATAAAGAAATACCATATTTTTTAAGTGTGTGTATTTTTTATTATTGATTGATCAAAAATACACACAATCTAGTCTGAAACTCATGTGTTATTTGTGAAACTTAAATCAGTGCAATTACTGACTGGCTGTTCATGTGACCATGGTTGAGCACGGCAAAAACCCAGAATTTGGCAGCAAACTCCATCTGTCTTTATTTGACATGCCAGACTGGGAAAAACCCTGTTATTAGCCCCGCCACCTTGCTTAGGAGATGCATTCTTTCATTCTCACAGGTACGTCCTGTGTATGTCACAAACACACCAGAGGCCTTTCTCAGTGGAGAGAGGCATATCATTTGGCTGCATTGTTTGGCTCTATGTCTTGAGGATTTCAGAAGCAGGTGCAGTCTTTCAGGCCACATTAGCACATTCACAACAGGTTTCTGTCCCTTAAGGTAACTGCATCACAGTCGAGTAATGCTATCCGAAAGGGAATCTTAATGCAAGCAGCCCACACTCTAATATACGTCACCT